TATCAAAACGCCTGCCATTTGAAATAAATAAATAAACTTTCCATCAACAAGTTTGGTCTGTTAAAACTCACTCCGGTAGAATGGGGGGGGGATACTTTCTTATTTCAGTGCCCCCTCTTTTAATAGGAATAGAATTTAGTGTCATTTGCGCACATATAAATGAATGATGCGTGTATTGCAATCATGGCCAATATCTGATTGGACACTTGGAGAGAATTTTATTTATCTTGATTTAAATTTGCTATTTAATATTCTGCAAATGTGCTAGTGATTAGTTATATTGAGTTGACCAATTAATATAATTCTGGTACGTGATAAATGTTCGATATTAGGGTCTTCAGATTGGACATTTACATGAGTTCACATAGAAATTTAGTGTGCATCAAAATAAATGCAATGCATTGCAACATATCCTTATAAACACGATATAATGGGTGAGTGAGAGACTTACCTCCACGTTTTGCACCCTGGGCAACGTATTCTCATACGGCAAAAAAGACTATTAACTGGCATTTGACTTCTGACTTCAAACTGCCATCACCCCACTGTATGTCATATTTGACCACTTCCACAGTACTCGTATTACCTTTTCCCTGCCTTTGCGTTTGTCTGTCCCTTTTACAATTGTGAATCATTATTCTGTCCCCCCTCTCGACTTTTTGTCACTTTGATGTTCCTCCTCCTCTCTGTGAAGCCCGAAGTCAGCTAAAGGGCTAATTATGACTGCCAAAACGCCTGCCATATGAAATAAATAAATAAACACGATAAATATTTGTGCGCTAAGAACAAATTTAGTAAGCATTTTTGTTCTGTTTACCAAAGTTTATAATGTTCACCTAGCCCTTTTGTTTTCAGTCAGTGGTATATGTGATACGACCAGCATTAAAGGTACTTTAATTTGCCGAAAAATGTAATTTCATAATTACCTCACTGAAGGCATATTCTACTGACTAAGAACTTGGTAACCCATTGTATGAAGTAAAAGAATTTCAATGAAACGGGCTGCAATATGGAATTGACATGAATACTGCGTAAGAAGTGACAATTTCACTTGTTTTAGATTAAAAATTTAGATACGAGCTCCAGTGTGCATGGTCATGGTTCTCTTACATCAAAAAATGGATTTGACAGCTCTAATTTGGCGCCAAAACACACTTGGAGTTAAACAAAGAAAGTAACAGCTGAAGATATAAAAATGAAAAAAACCCTATTATCTGCTGAGAGAAAAAACAAAACAGTGGTCCTACAATGGATTCCTGGTCACTGTGGCATTAAAGGCAATGAGCTTGCTGACACACTTGCAAAGAAGGGGACAACGATTTTGCAATGGATGGACCGGCCGATGTCTTTCCACACAATGAAGACCTTAATCAGGAGAGAATTCAAGACCTCAAGGTTCAACGAACTCAAAGCTCGAACAAAGGAGAAACAGTGGACAGTGGCACTCTCCGACATACCCGACTGGCCAAGAATCGAAGCCGTTGCTGAGTTTAGACTACGTACCGGACACGATTGCTTGGTAAAACACCTTCACAGATTAGGAGTATACACTCAACCCACATGCCCTCTATGTAACCTACATGAGGAAATGGAGAAGACCCACCTGATTCGATGTCCAGCTCTAAAGACAAGGACGGAAAGCCAGAGATACTGGGAAGCAAGAAGACGGCTAATGAACTGCTATTAATATAACTGCTATAAATGTACCCCCCCCCCTTCTTGGGGGAAGCTGAAGTCAAAGCTTAGGGGCTAATGATAAATAAATAATAATAACTTCTAAGAAGTGGCTTTCACCAGGAGCTTTACGCGATTAACAAGAAGTCAACTTAAAAGAAATTTGAGAAACAATAGTTATGGAATAAAGTTGAGTTGTCTTAACTGGAATCAGTTGTCACTTACAATACTTAATGACATAACGTTGATATGATATTCAGAACATTTATGATTGAAAATGTAGAGTGCAAAATTGACTATGGGTTAAACACGATTCTAATTGCACCACGATTGGTCTCCATTAATTAGCAAATAAGGCTTCGTAAGTTTGAAAGGAGAAATTTAACTTCTACCTGAGCTGCATAACTCATATATGTATTCATGAATTTTAACCCATCCCTTCTCGTCCCATGGTTTCAAAATTTGCTAAATTATCTGAATGGTAGAAAGTAAGGAAGCCAGCTGCTAGGAAGGAAAAGTACATGCCACCAGATGTCAAACCTGTTTGAACAGATTGTCAGCAACTTCCATGCAATTCTAAATTCTCTACTCCTACAATTGTGCAAAGATCACCAAAACACATGTTATATAACGTTCCTCTTATTGGGTATCGTGTTTACGAATTACGTAAGGTTTATAAGCAGAAGCTCTTTCTAAAGCACTCTACGCCATGAAGCGAGCATTGGCAAGAAGGAAATGACCCTATTTAAAAGTTAATGCCTTGCTTGGATCCCTCGGGATGATAAGGGAAGTTGCTTCTCGCCCCCCCCCCCACCTCCCCTCTTTGTTTCTCCACACTCCCACCCACCTTCCCTCATTGTTGGTAAAGGGTGGGAACCACGACATTATGGACACACCCAGTGACATCAAGCGTAATGAAATGGTACTTCCATTGTTTATTCATTTCCGTTAATTTCCGACATTATGATAAAAAGCCCCGAATGATCCCCCTTTCCTCTTTTCACTGGAATTTAAAAAAATCCACATCCAATGCGCAATGAATTTAGCCTACACTCTAGGAAATCCAATTTCTACGAAGTCAAATCTAATTCGCTATGTGTTAAGTTGTTAAAAGAACACATCCTGGGAAAGAAGACATAGCAGAAAGATATTGCAATTACAAAATTTAAACTCCAATAAAATATTGAGCATTCCAATTAGTGAAGAAAAAGTGATATTTTAGGAGTAATTTGACTTTCCGTATTTTTTACAATTGAACAACAACAAAACACAAATGGATGACCACAATGGGTTCAGCTGTGTTGCTCAACTCCACCTTCTTCCTGAAATGCTATTTGAACAGATCCAGGTAACAAGATTAACCAAGTGGCCAACAGGCTCTTAATTCCGTGAACATAATCTCACTGCTTGAATCTGGGTGTTAAATCATTAAATCCGAACATCAAGATATGGTCCAGTGAACCCCACTGCTTACGATTGAATTGAGAGGATTCAAAATGAGATAAGACTAGTCATGTCATGACTTTAGTAGCAGCTCCCTCTTGACCCCTGCCATCTTTTATGCCTTAGTAGACCTACGTCTTGTGCGCCCTACACGGATGTCTTCCAAAGCTCCAAATTGGCAAAAGTCGCCTTGCCTGGCCACAAGCAATACCAATAGCAGATGGATTTTGTGCGCGAATTTGCCAAGCGCTGCCTTTTTATTTCCCACTTACCTCTTCACGACTTGCTCATAGGTAAGTAAATTGTTAAGAATTCCCCTCCCCTCCCCAAAAATGCCAATGATCCACTTTGGTGTAAAGAAACCAGGTTTCCGGAAAGAGATGGTGACTAGGGGGAGGGGAGGGGGGGGTGGCCAATTCTAAACAGAAGAATGAAACTATCTTCTAATTGGGCACAATGAGTTTGTGTGCAATCTTCTTTCACACCCAGAAGAATAGAATTGCGCCGCCTAATAAATTTATGCTAAATCCAGAATTGAGAATAGGCAATTATGAAGGTGTAAGTAATAAGGATTATCGGTAAGACAGTACTGCTTAAGCCTTCTTTCGTTTATTTACTCGCAATCGCATATTGTGTGTTATTGGAGAATATAATATTTACTTAAATGTGATCTGCTATTCTCATTCAGCCCAACCGCCCTCATGACTGTCGCCCAGCTGACTGATGCCGCCGACGCGATGTTTTGGGTGGTGTCTGTGAAGGTTATATACACGTATTGAACCTGCTTCAAGGCGCAATAGAGCCTTCTGTTAGGAGTCTAGTACCGATTGAGCTTATCTTGAAAGAGGGTTTTAATTAGCTAAATATGATCTAATCATTTCATATAAGTTTAGGTGGTGTGTTTAATTTGCAAGGATTTAATTTCTCCCCAAGAGCTGCCAGAAGGTAGGCAAAGAGGATTTTGTTGGAACTGACACAGGTACTGAAGCAATTAATCAGAACTAAAGAACCGGCTTTTGTTCCTTATCAAGTTCTCCTCTTGCAGAAGATTAGTTCAATTCAGATTCAAGCATATTTCGTATCCACTATGAAGTAAATTAGATTAATATGAAGATAATTAGTACTGTACAATTGATAAATTGCATTTTAGTAAGATGAGGAACCGCTTACATCGAAAGACTGGAATGTTAGAGCCACTGAAAACCCCGTAGGAACAACAATCTTCCATATGCACTCCTTGTTAGGTTTGTAGAACTCGGGATAACTTGGGCTGGTGATAATTCCTTCCTCTTGTACAATTTCTCCTCCACAAACAGCTAATCAGAATTATGTCGTTATAAACGGGGTTCTTACCTTGGTATTCTGCCACAAATCCATTACTGACGGAACCGGAAGATCGTCTATATTCAATCCATAAACGGGATTTTGTCGATACAATCATTGGAGGAAGATTCTTACCACAGTATCGGCCAACCAATGGTGATCCAGAGTAGTAACCATCTCGAACTTCAACGTAATCATTAGTGCATGCATGTTGAGAGGATGCTTGACTTAGAGTTAATCCATTCCCAGATTTCAAATCATCTGATTGTTGGAAAATATCCAAATATGTGAAGTTGAGGTGGATTCTTTCACCCATAGCTCCAATAATCCTCCACTGACAGAAGAGTGGTCCCATCGCTGCAAATTCCATGGAAGTTTGAGAATTTGAGTCCCCATTTTTAAGTCCAGCGTTATGCTCATTGAGTTTGGCTGCGATTGAAGACAATTTAGCCCACCGACTATCGTCAGATAGCATACGGCCTTGATGGTCACCAACCATGCCAGATAGTTTATGTGCATTTGACAATTCGTGGGTAAGAGGGTGATAGAATGATGCAGGATCGGTGAGAATATCGGGAGAATTGAAATCGATATCTGGAACTGAGATGGTGTTATAATCCTGGCTGTTGTGGACTACCCATGACATTTGGGGAGAAGCAAATGTTCCTGTTGGCTCCATGAGTGTTCGACCGCAAGCTAAAATTTAACATTGCAAACAGATTTTCCCTTTTCTAAATTTGGAACAATTACCACTTTCCACCAGAGGGTACATTTTGGCGGGCAATATCTGTTTATTTACTTTGGTTTCGTTCTTTGAGAATACTGACAGAAACATTAAAGCTGTTGCAAGTGTCCCTAGCTACAGTACTATTGTTTTATCTTAGTAATACTAATAAATGAATGGTTTCACCATCTCCTCATAGACCTTGAGAGCCCTTCTAGTAATTTAATTTCAATTGAAATTGGATATTTAAGTTAAGTTTATTTCAAAGAATTCGCATATATAGTTATTTGAAATCAATGTAAAAAAATCAGAAAACTTATAATTTTAAAATAAAATTCGAAATACTTTGGAAAAATAAGTATCAACAGAGCATTCAGACATGTAAATATATAAAAAAATACAATCGTTCCAGAATCATTTGAGACTGATCTTTATTTGAATACTATAAATCTTTCTATTGGAGCATAATAAAATTATTTATGGCTACATTCTCAAAAGATAGCAGATTTATCTTTTTGAATTTAATGCATTTAAACAAAAAAATTCGCAATTTTATAACAGTTATTTTTATCGAAATGGTAGTTCCCATTTGTAGTTCACAAAGAAGAAATATCTTATGCCCAGTCCAGTGTTTTACTACTATTCAAATGTCGCTTTTTTAATGGAATCGTGGAATTCCGGGGAAAAAATTGAATCCCATCAGCGATCAACAAATTCAGTCAAGCAAATTTGTTTAAATGAATTGGATATTTAGGGATAGAAGAAAAAAATTAACGGCTAAAAGGAATTGGCATTCTTATAAAAATTTCTGTAAAGTACTTGTTGGGAAAATTAAAACAATGAAAATAAGTGGTTCTCTTGATAATTTGGGAGTTAAGGTGAAAAGTAACTTAGGTCATCAATACTTTTACCTTTCTATTGAAGAGGTGTGCGATGGACTTACCTCCACGTGGTGCACTCTGGGCAACGTATACTCATACGGCAAAAAAAGTCTATTAACCGGTAGTTGACTTCTGACTTCAAACTATCATCATCCCACTGTATGCCATATTCGACTACTTCCACGTTAATCACCTCACCTTTTTTTCTACCTTTGTGTCTGTCTATTTAACGTATTTAAATCACTCTTCTGTTCCCTCTCTCGAATTTTTCTCACTTTGATGTTCCTCCCCTCTGTGGTTCCCCCTCTTGAATTTTTCTCACTTTGATGTTCCTCCCCTCTGTGAAGCCACCAGAAGTCAAATAAAGGGCTAATGATAACCATCAAAACGCTTGCCAACTATCACAATGGCTGCCATTTGAAATGAACAAATCTTCCTATTGAATAGTTTATATCTAGGAACGAAGTCTTGTGTACGGTTGCCCCTGGAAGAGAAATATCGCCATTACATCCGCACAAGTATATGATCACCGCTTCGGCTTAAGAATAAACCTTTTATTACATTTTATAGCCCATATTCTGGTGTAGCATTCAGACGTTTTGAGTAATATATTTGCCATAAAATATATGATAATGATATCTTCGTAGATTTAACTACCATTCAATTACTCTGCCTCTTGGATGTTTTTAGACGCCATTATAGCGGATGTGCTGGTGAAAGAATTTCGAGGTGAAGAAGAAGATTAACGATATTGATTGAAACACCGCTGTTGATTAATAAATAAGGTCCTTTTTCTAATAGAAGTTGATCTGGTGATAAATGATCAGTATTACTCCATAGATAATTGTCTCAGTCAAGTAAATAGGGAAGTAGAGTGCAATTTCGCCCTAATTTCCCTAATTTTATAATTGGCTCTTAATGAGGTATTGCAATGAGGTAAATCACTCACATGGACAGCCGTAGAGTTTGTTAGTTTGACGAACATCACCAGGACTAAGTTGTATTCTCTGTCCAATGGGTGGTCGAGGACAGCAAGCTTTCGGGCGGATGGTCTCGTCTTTATTGGCCTTAGCGAAGGTCCCTTTCGCGTAGTGCATAATTGAACTATAATCGTAGGGCTCGCGTAAAGAATTCACCTCTCCGGAATCCATCTTCTTGAAGTTGAAGTCCTGGCCCTCAACAACATTCTCAAGTAGAATTTCAACATGATCTAAACCAATAAACGTATATATATATATATATATATATATATATATTTAGCTACAGTCCACTTTTTCAGTTATTTTACAACAATAGGGGAAGGAGGTAACGAAATATTTTAGCTATTAGAAAGAAGGCTTTATTTTTCTAAAATTGAAAATACGCAAACAGCGCTTAAAATGGAACACAGCTATCATGGTTCAAAGCTGCTGTTTTTTTAGACAACAGAGCATTGCTTGTAAAACGTTTAAATAATAAATCTAAAGGCAAAATCCAGGCCATGGGTATATATATATATATATTTCGTTTTGGTTATACACTGCAATATACTTTGAACGCCAGTTGTTGTTAATACACTTCTAAAAATTAAGATTCTTGAACATTAATTAATAGTAGATGCTTAAATTAACTGAAATTCATGCTTCTGTAAACATGGATTTGTTGAATAAAACAATTTCCAACAATTCTAGGCCTTTCGTGGCTTCGAGAGGCAATTTAAAGTGGCTTTCTTCAACCTCCATAAATATTAACTCTCTGTTACTATGACGGCAAAATGGTGCAAGCACACGATTTTGAAATCTATGCAATTGGAATCTTCGCTTCCTAGCATGAAACGATTTAGGACTTATTTTTTTTGCAATATGGCAAAAATCCAAACGGCTTCAATTCGCGGTTTATGAGAACTCAAGCACAACTTTCTCCTCAATTACCTTGAAAAGAAGCCTTCTATCGGGAATTAAAGGCTTTTAGGGATCCATAGGTAGTAACGCCAAAGAAGCGTCAAATAAGCCGCATCGGAAATGCTCACTTGTCAAGAAAGAAATTATCATATTCAATACCGACCTCTTTCTCTCTCATTTCAACTAATATTATTTTATAATTTCTAAATCCTCCCGTTATTCAATTCGAGCACTAAGTTATCATTGGTGTCCCAAATAATTCAGACTCTATTGGCCCCACCCTGTCCCAAATAAGAAGCCTAGCAGCCAAGCGCATACCTGTATCGGTATATTAAATTTTGTCGATAAATGCACTAATTATGATTAATTTCGGTACATATTAGGGGTTGGGGGGGGGGGGAATGCAATGATTTCCTGTGTGGTCAATGCGTTAGATGGTGTGGGCAGTACTTCCTTCTTCTTTAATGCAGCTTCCATAGTTTTATAATAGAGATATAGTTACATATATATATTTTTTTCAATTTGGTCCATCTTCCTAAGGTGTGTTCTGTGGGAGGCAATTCGATTTATACTAGAAGGTGGGATTTGGCATATTTTGGCTACCCCCTACACTTTCATACCAACTCCATCAATATCAGGACAGAGCTTAAAATGATATGACCTTAATAACCCAGGTGCTATAGTGATGATTCACCAGAGAAAAAAAACCCACGTGTTCGAAATTACCACCTATATCGCTGGTCTGCAAATGAGAGTGCCAGGTGGAAAATCATTAACGGAAGGAGGTATTAGAACGTTTTCCCTCTTCTTGTGGCATGGATTGAATAAGGGAGAACTGGGGCTCATTGAAACAAAGCGTTGTTTCGACTGTTTCCTATTTATTATGATGGATTATTCTTAGAAAACGGTCAGAGCGTCATATTTTTGCTGAAATGATATTCAAATATGAGAATAGACGAAATACTTATTTCATCAATGTTAATACCCTTGGAATCTAATGTCAACATTGACAATGGCATTCTGACATATGTGGAGCTTCAACTGTATTTGTCTTTCACAAGGCCTATATTGCAAGTTGATGTTGGGTATAGCGTCAGATTGGGAGTTGGCCAATCGACACTACAAAAGTATTACATTCGTTTGAACAAAAATGATTCTTCCTGTTAGCAGGATTGAACTCCGTTGAAGCGGTGGTTTGCGTATTTATAAACGGGAGTTGCTATTATTGACTGTTCTAACCTGAAAATCTAAGTAGAGCTTTGGATTTTTGGAAGAAGTAGCAATAACACACAAATATATATGTATATATATATTGTGGGAAACATTTCAAATCCCACATATCACGAGCCAAATATCCTTTCAAGCAGCAAAATTAAATGATCATATTATTGCATGCTCTTGTTTAAATACTATAGACTTCGTCATCTTGATAAATGTATAGAAGGGGTGGGCGACAGACTTACCTCCATGTGGTGCACCCTGGGAAACGTATACAAAAAAGTCTATCAACCGGCAGTTGACTTCTGACTTTAAACTATCATGACCCCATTGTATGTCAAATTCGACCCCTTCCACAGTACTCATCTTGCCTTTTCTCTGCCTTTATGTCAGTCTGCCTGTCTCTTTTACGTCTGTGAAACATCATTCTGTCCCCCCCCCCACTTCGGCTTTTTGTTACTCTTATGTTCCTCCTCCTCTCTGCGAAGCACGAAGTCCACTGAAGGGCTAATGATAACCATCAAAACGCCTTCTGTTTAAAAAAAATTTATAAGTTTTGTCCCATCAGTTACCCAGCTGTTATTAGATAGGCTACTCAAATTTATGGACAGCGGTCTTGTCTAAATAATGCCCATTCTCCTCTCAGCTATTCAAGTAGAAATCCTAACTCACCCGCCACTCTTACCACGAAATTTAAAGGAGTAGCATTTTGGTCACTTAATATTCATCCAGTCCACATAACCTGGCCATAGGGGAAGATGAATACATGTACATCAAACCCTCAATAAAAAAATGAAACGATTATGACTCACCATCCCTATCGGGTCTGGTATGTTCGTGCCAAAAACCAATAACGTGACCTAATTCATGGATAACAATTCCCTTCTTGTCACAGTTCTTTCCAATCGAAATCGCCTGCGGCTCATCCTCACTTCGACGACCGACGTATGAACAACAACTAGAAAAGGAGGAATACAGCCTTTTAATGATACTATTAATACTTCGTATGCGGGCACAATTTGTGCGTCCTAGCAATATCCTTGGTGTTAAATTAACTTCATAGCATTTAGAATTGTGAATAATCAAATAATATTGCTTTAGTCCCATCAATGGGGAATAGAGTCATTCTATGTTCATTTAAGATGGTGTGCAATAGACTTACCTCCACATGGTGCACCCTGGGCAACGTATACTCATACGGTAAAAAGTTTATAAACCGGCAGTAGAATTCTGACTTCAAACTACCATGGCCCAACTGCATGTCATATTCGACCCCTTCCACTGTACTTATCTTACCTATTCTCTGCTTTTGTATCGGTCTGTCGCCTTAAAATCTGTGAATCATTATTCTGTCCTCCCCTCTCGACTTTTTGTCATTTTGATGTCTCTCCTCCTCTCTATGAACCCCAAAGTCAACGAAAGGGCTAATGATAACTATCAAATAAATGCGTTTAATTAAGATTAACAAAAAATGATAATTTCCAGGAGGCTTTCATTCTCCGTATGCAATATTGCATTTGTACTTATATGGCTAAAATGAAATAGCTACCATTAAAAGCGAGTATCGTGTTTGACTTCTGACATTTTTTCTAAAGTGTCAGAAGGTCAAGCATTCAAATGAGACTGCCTATATGACCTTACAGTATAAGTATCAGTTCACTGCCATGATGTTGGAACGTCCTTAAGCCAATCGTGCACTAAAAAAACCACATGCAAATATTGACTTACCCGCAGGGTTTCACCGTGAAAATGATGTAGGATTTGTGTTGGGGTTCGCGTTCAACAAAACTCAAGCAGGTGTGATTTTCCCAGTGTCGCATGGCTTTCATTATAGTGGCTTTGGTTTCACCTTAAATGCAAGAAAACAAATGAAATCAGCGGTGTTTCCTCCCCCTCCCCCAACCCAGTGGAACAGTAATTTGCATGTCAAGTAAGTCATGGATGACAAAGTGGATACTCTCTGCACAGATCACACTGGTCGGTAGAGGATGGCAAATTTCGAAATTTGGATGTGGATTCGGGATGCCTTTCGTCAACTAGAAGCTTGAAGTGCATGCAAATTAGGGAATTATTAGTACTTCTATTCATTTCACTCAAGTGCTTTAGGAAGAAGGCCTATCCTATCAAATAAGACTCTTTCTCCTCTCATGCCTTCTTGTATTCTGACTTAAATGTTGATTGTGAGAACACCGGCCTCTGTTTGCGCGCGGTCGATTAAAACGATGGCAGCTAAATCCCTATTCAAAGACTCCTTCAACAATAGGGTGTATATGTATTCCCCCCCCCCTCTTAGAGCATTTTTGAGTCAAACATGGAACTCTTATCCATCAAGCGTTTTCGTCTAGAACTTTTAGGCTGTAGACATTTGATGCTAGGAAGCACTAATCGATGTCTCGATAAAATTATCCCTGTAAATATAAGTGACTGAGTTATTTGCTCCATAACTAGAGTGAGTGGAGAGTGGGGAAGTCAAACCGTTGTCAACAAATTGAATAATCACGCACAAGTCGGGTTCATCACAAGTGTGAAATAAAACAGTAAGACCTCAGTTTAGTTATTTTAAAGCACTTCATATCCAGATGAATTAACTTGTTCAATTGTTGCGTCATCCAGCTCGATGTAAACAATGCCATAAAAGATGGCCCTCTGTCACCTGGTTTCAGAACAAGTTGTGCGTCATCGTAGGCTGTGGCAAGTAGGTATAAAAATAAATGATTTTAAGTCATAGTTTACTTCTTTTATATGGGGTGTGCGATAGACTTACCTCCACGTGGTGCACTCTGGGCGACGTATACGCATAGGACAAAAAAGTCTATTAACCGGCAGTTGACTTCTCACTTCAAATTACCATCACCTCACTGTATGTCATATTCGACTACTTCCATAGTACTAACCTCACCTTATTTCCACCTTTGTGTCTGTCACTTTTACATCTTTGGAACACCCTTCTTGTTCCCACCCTCTCGACTTTTTTCACTTTGGTGTTCCTTCCCCTCTGTGAAACCTGAATTCAACTAAAGGGCTAATGATAATTATCAAAACGACTGCCATTTTATATAAATAAAATTCTTTTACATTGAATCGAAAAAATTCTTAAATATGTCGCTATTGACATTCGACTTCAGATTAAACGCATCAAATGAGTTCATTTTTTGTGTAGTGACCACCAAAATGGCATACTAATTTTCGCAGAAGCTGAAAGCACACAACTATGTGAAAATTGGGTGGCTGAGAAATTGCAGAAGAATCGTGTCATCGATAAATTCTTATGAAATAAAACAGACGAAGCGAAGGTGAGATGACTCCAATCGACTTTTTTCCAAGCGAAAGCAAATTATTTGTTATCCAGCGATTTTCTTATCTATATTTGGCAAAATAATGTCCGAAGAGAATCACTACAGGCGGAAACTTAATTTGAATGTGACGGAAAATTCTCTCCAACGCATCCGGATGCAATGGATTTACATTTTGGACAAGATTAGGCATTGTTGACTCTACTAATTTAACTTACTTGTGAAGTTAGCTTGAATCACGTAGGGAATAACACCATAAGGCCAGGTCCTCGACTTGTACGCCGTAGCTGCTCGCCTTATCCTCCTCAATGGCTGATCTTCATTGCGTAATTCCATTCGATTCTCCTCATCAACCTCCTCGAGGGTTTTTAGACTTTCGTTCAAATTCCTTCGTTGCCTATTCAAAGACGTCTTCGTCTCCCTCGATAGCATCACGCGTTTCAGGAGATTTTGCTGTCTTTGAGTTAATAAGGCTAGCTTTGATTGGAGATTATTTTGTTTCTCTGTTATTCGTTTCAATCGACGAAGATATTTCTCCTGACTCAACGGGGCATTATTATCCACAGCCTCCTTTCTGTTTCTTTGACGTGTTCGGCGAAAACGACGTCTTCGTTCTTTTTGCAACTCGTGGGTGCCCTTATTGCTAAGGCGTAGAGGCTTTTGTCGGGGGCTATTTTTAGCTCTATAGAAGTCAAAAAATGCGGGTGCTTATCTATCGTCTAACCGTAGACCAGTGATACTTTCATGCATAAAGTTACAGTGACTCGCAGGAGGCTAATTTTGGCGCGATAAAAGGAGGACAAACTAAGGGTGGAAGGATTAGCAGCTAAAGCTTCTTTACTCCAAAGTGATACCTCAATCGAGGAAGTTTAGTGAATATATTAAATGAGGGTACTCGGAAATGCGGATGTAGATGTTTCCGTTGTAAATAGACTTCTTAATGATAACTGCCATAGTTGTCCACCAATGTTAAAAGAACTTCAAAACCAACCGAACTATATCTTGTTTATTCAAATTAGGAAATAGTGTTGCGTAATTGAATAATTAAATAAAGTCGAAGAAAGTGGTGCAATTTCATCAAATACAAGATCATAATTAATAAAATATCCCTAATATGTAATAAATAATGAATCTACTACAAATTTATTATATTTGAAATATAAAAAATGAAAATTGAATTTTTAATTTTAGGAATTTCTAAAGGTGGAGGTCTTATTTATTCACTTTAGAGCTTTGACATTTAAAATGTCAAAAAAGTGCCTCCCTTTTGGGTACTTTCAAAATAAGACGGTGAAAACGACATTCATTGCCTTAATTATGTCTGACTTTTGTGAATAAAAGTATGTCTTCCTACTAATCTACAAAAATATTATCATTATTATTATAAAAAAGACATTGCACTTTACAAGCAAAAAATAGCAAAGTCGTAGAATCAAATTGTAATCACTTTAACCATTGACAATATCGATGAGATTGAGCTTACAACTTATCAGAACTCCGGTTAGTCATTGCATTAGTCCTGGCGTTGAAATTCGATTGAGGCCTATCCCTCATATCAGACGTTTTGAGATCATAATTCGCCGAATGTTCTATCCACTCTTGAATCGGTCTTTTGGCGACAACGCCATACCGTTCGATCATGTTATCAGCTTCGGCATCTGATAAAGCGATATCTCCAGTATATCCACCTATAGAAAGGCAAGCAATTGACACTGATTATGCATTTTCAGGCGAAAACCAAAAGTAAACATCGCTATCAATGCAATAAGATATTGGAATAGCCAAGACCTATAACTGCTTCCTCTATTTAATTTCCTACAGTTGCCCCCCTCCCCCCGCCCCAGATACAACTTTTCGTTAAATTTAAGAGCATTTCAAAATTTTATTTGAGGTCTTCTAAGGTCAAAACTGGTCACCTTGGCGGCGACCGATTTCATTTACAAGGTTCTAACAGTGACGGAGTCAAACATGCAATTCGCGTCAACGGCCTCAGGAACTATACGCTATTGAGTACTATCTAGCGTCAAACGCAAACCAAATTGGGAAAAGTCATTCCAAATTTGAAATTGGGTTATCTTATTCAGTAATAAGGGGGGTAAGATAATCTCTAAGTTTTATCAAATGCATTCTTGTAATAACAATGAATTTTTCAACCGACAGACACTTTCTCCAAATTGTTCATAAATTATAAGCCATTCAGAAGAGAGGGAGAGAGAGGACGGAAGTTAATTAACTAATTCAATTAATCATTTAAAATCATTAATAATTCCCATAGTTTCTTCTTCTAAGCCTTAATTTGGATTTCAACAAAAGTAAAATTCGACTGAGAGGTGGATGTCAAATTTTTACTCTACTTTACCATAATAGTAAAAATTTTTCGAATCAGGTAAATTATTGATTTAAACCGCAATTCGTGAACTTAATAAAAAAATAATGTATTGCTTTACATTGTCTAGATTACATTCTGAAGGAAATATCAAGACAAATGACGTAATATTCCATCAACAACTGATCAAACTAAGTAAAGTGATAATCAAAATTACCTATTTAAGTCTCGACATACGCTTTCCCTAAATAACCATTTAAATTTTCCCAAGAGAAATAATTTATGCAAAATTTAGACGGTGGGTGCAAGTACACAAGGAGACCTAATTTTGGGAAAATTTCCCTCTTTTAGAAGGGCAGAAAAACACCCCACACAAATGTCCCATCTTATCAGTTCGCGTTATTTGTAACCTAAAGGCATTGGGATGAATCGACAAAAATGCGATATAGTAATGAATCACTAGGTAATTCTCACGAAAGGCTACAAAGTACATACCCTTAACCCCCTATCCCCCCCC